TCCCCTCCATTGCTTCCTCCAAAATAACAAAGCAACAGTCCTAAACTCTTTCACCTCTCCCTTTCAAGGAAAGAACTGAAGGAAAAAAATGCTTCCATACACTGTTTTTACACTCAATGACTGGATATTATGTTGGAAATGCTTAATGTTTGCTTAAAATAGCCAAGACTTATCAGGTGTTTCCAGATATTACTATCAGTATTTCTGTATCCTCAGCAGACTCGCCACTGGTGTGACTGCAAATCATCTGGTTAATGCAGAGTCACACTGAAGCTACCCGTCATAAGTTCTGATCAAAGCAGAGAACAGTGAGCTGTGGTCAAAGGGCAGGACTAAACATGTTTTGAATAGTGCTGTGATGGATTAGCTATACTACACTTATTATAGTGTACCTCTGGGGTTAAAGTTATTTCAGTATATTACAGTGTTTATATTAGTATATGTTTACCACATATATTATTAGCTCTCTGTTTGCATTGGTTTATACACCGATCAACCATAACATTATGAGCACTGAGTGGTGAAGTGAATAACACTGATTATCTGGTTATCATGGCTCCTGTCAGTGGGTGGGATATATTAGGCAGCAAGTGAACATTTTGTCCTCAAAGTTGTTGTGTTAGAAGCAGGAAAAATGGGCAGCGTGAGGATTTTAGCGATTTTGACAAGGGCCACATTGTGATGGCTACACGACTGCAGCTCTTGTGGGGTGTTCCCAGTCTGCAGTGGTCAGTACCTATCTAAAGGGGTTAAATGAAGGAAAAGCAGTGAACCAGAGACAGGGTGGCCAAGGCTTATTGATGCACATTGGGAGTGAAGGCTGGCCCGTGTGGTCCGATCCAACAGATGAGCTACTGTATATCAAATTGCTGAAACAGTTAATGCTGGTTCTGATAGAAAGGTGTCAGAACACAAAGTGCATCACAGTTTGTTGGTATGGGGCAGCCATAACATTATGACCACCAGGGTGCCCGGGTGCTCACAATGTTATGGCTGAGTAAGCTTAACAAGATACGCTTTGTTTGGTGTAAGACTAATTTATCCTTCTTAGATACATTTTTGGTTTGTCCATTCTGGGCAAATAGATACGGTAACAGAAACACAAGAATTCTTATTTTCAGGTGATTATACACTAATAAAATATATTCAATACCTGCCAATAGATCCTCCTAAATGTTATACACTGGACCTTTAAACAAATATCACTGAGTGTATTTGATACTCAAAACTCATTATTCGTAACTAGTGGGCTACAGATTAACCACAAATACTCCATCATTGTCAGACATTAGCGCACTGAATCAGGGTTGATAAGAGCAGTGAGATTGAAACATACTGTGAGTACAGGTCATAACACCAAAACAATGAGCTAAAACAGCGGTTTCCTAAACGTTCTCTTTGTTATATCCCCCTTTTGTTGTTCCCAAAGGAAAGAGATTCACAGACCTTTTTTAACAGGAGGCATTCTCACTTGTCATAGCAGAAAAGGCACAGCTGGAACCAATCGCATTAAGGAGGGCTCTGCTACTGCAATTAATGCCATGCAATGCAGCAAAACAGGCTGTTATTAGTCACACCTATGATGACAACTTTAGCTTCATTCAAGTTTCCCTCCCTCAACGCCTGAATCTTCAGACTAACTGAAAAATGACCCTTAATGCCTGCAGTCCTGTCCAGAGTAGCCTAATAAGGATCGTACTTGACTACAAGAATTGAATGATTGTACTAGATTGTCCAGCTTCCAGTTTTAAAACCCATGGACCGCAGTCAGAAACCCAAAGTTATTATTCCAGATCTTCCTAATCCCACAGCCCTGGAAGACAGATGTGGTCCTAATTTGGGCTCTCATTTCAATGAGTGCTTTGAAATAGCTGCTTTGAGTCCCTTGTGTCTCTAAACCATCAGGTGTCGATAGCTGTGAGCAATGGCCTGCTCAGATCCTGTCAGGTGGGATAACTCACTCACTCTGTAAATGCTTTAAGTTTGGCAAACCAGCAGAGGGGCAGACATCAGATTTATCCATCACGGGCTGAAGTCAGACTGAAATGCTGCCCACCTATCTGGCAGTAAATTACAAAGAATGAGGCTGCAGGAATCAGCACTGTGACATTAATATATAGCAGAGACAGAGCAGAAAACAGAAATGTTACGCTGGAGGGAAAGTTACACTGATCAGCCATAACATTATGAGCACTGAGTGGTGAAGTGAATAACACTGATTATCTGGTTATCATGGCGGCTCCTGTCAGTGGGTGGGATATATTAGGCAGCAAGTAAACATTTTGTTCTCAAAGTTGTTATGTTAGAAGCAGGAAAAATGGGCAGGGTGAGGATTTGAGCAACTTTGACAAGGGCCACATTGTGATGGCTAGACGACTGGGTCAGAGCATCTCCAAAACTACAGCTCTTGTGGGGTGTTGCCTGTCTGCAGAGATCATTACCTATCAAAAGTGGCTCAAGGAAGGAAAAGCAGTGAACCAGAGACAGGGTCATGGGTGGCCAAGTCTTGTTGATGTAGCTCAAACTGCAGAAAAAGTTAAAGTTGGTTCTGATAGAAAGGTGTCAGAACATACAGTGCATCACAGTTTCTGGTGTATGGGGTCATAATGTTATGGCTGATCGGTGTATACTATAGATCATCCTCTTAGCCTCTCCTGTGAGGTGTTTTCTCATCTTCACAGCATAACACAGGGTCCATCCAGAAACCTGTCAATATACTAATAACCACAAGATTTAATACACCTTTTTTCTTATCTGAACAACAAGGTGGAGAGAATGAAGTGTGAGAGACACTTCAGATAAGATTTGAATTTAATCCCATTTGGTAGGCTGTTCGTGGACATGCATAGTAACACAGACATTTGAATAATAATAATGCTTTTTGCAATTTCCCAGCTTGTGAGGATGTAAAAACTATATCAGAGAATCTGAGCAGACACAAAAGGCAGATTATTCTACAAGATTTCCAAATAAACCTTTCCAGTTCCTCTAGCTGAGAGATTCAGACTTATTAACGGGGAGAGGACCCACTGCAGAAGCTGTACAGGTAGTAAGATTGATGACCCCCTGTCAACACATTGATAGCCCTGGAAAGTGGAAAAAATCAAATCAAGAGAGACACTGCGAACATAATGGACACTAGGGGTTTGGTATTGCTATGAGGTCAGATATTTACCGACAGATAGAAAGAAAGACTGCTGGCACACACTTATCAACAAGCTGGTGTCCAGAAAATAGAAACATCTTGAGGAGTACAGAAACCCACACTTGTGTTGATGAGGTCCTGGTTTACAAGAACAACATGAAAAGCATGATGAGAGAAACCGTATACTCATCACAGATGCTAAACGTCCAGCTTTTCTCTTCCTGATTTCCACATTTTACAGTGCTCTGTGAAACTTTTCTATCACAGCGAGCATGACATTGGTTTTTAACAAAGGGGAGATACTGTTACGGTACACAATGGCGGGGAGTGAACACCAAGTCTTAATGTTTCAAGGAATGTGTACACAGTGTGTAACAACAGAACTGTTTTTAAAAAACTACAAGGCTCCATCAGAAAAGAAACAATCTGCATGGAAGACCATATAGGAATGTTCCCAGTGGACACAATACAAACTCATTTACAGTTATTCAACACTGTGCTGTCCTTACAAGAGAGCAAATTACATTCTGGCTGACTGAAGCGTGAAAGCTTGAAATGTTAAACAAGCCTGAGACACAACAATGATGAGATTTTAGATGAGAAGAATTTGAAAATGGAATGATGGACAACGGTGTTTTCTCATAAGTGGTCAGTTATGTAACATCATAGATATACTCACACTAACAGTGAATGAGTTTCTCTTCACTGTGCAGATGGCTCACATGGCAAGCCAAAGTTTAAGAATATTGTGATTGGAAATGAATTGTTAAAAGAAAATTAATGATGTTCTTCTTATTTGTGCATGAAAAATAAGTTTTATGACAAAACAAGCTATTCAATTTCTAAATTCAAATTGTTACACAAAGCTGCAGTAGATCACTTTTATAAAACTTTTCGTCATATTTGCTGAAGCTTTCACTATATCCTGACAGAAGTACATGAGACACAAAGTTCAGGTTCCTCTGGCTCCTCCTAGTGCTCCTAATGGCATTTGTCATTTTTGAGTTGGTATTTGACGACCTGGGAATGAGACACATCAACTATCTTCCTTGGCTCTCAGGTGCGGTGGATTCTTGTAAATGCCACTAGGAGCATAGGAGAAGCCAGTGGTGAGTGTGACACAACTACAAAGGCTTTTAAAGTATATATTTTTTGGGCTATGTATTGCCTTTAATTGATAGAGACAGCCGAAGGTAGACAGGAAATGGGGGCAGAGAGAGAGAGGGGATGACACGCAGCAAAGGGCCGCAGGTTGGACTCGAGCCCTGGGCCGCTGCAGCAAGGACTCACCCCGGCACATGGGTCACCAGCTCTACCCACTCAGCTAACCGGGCGCCCAACAACTACAAAGGCTTTTAAGACCTCAAAGCTGAACAATACTAAAATATGACAGGGCACCCTTTTGGCCTGGGCTTTCCCCATCTTTCTCTCTCCCCTCATTTCCTGTAATTTCTCTACTGTACATTCTTTAACAAAGGCATAAAATACCCATAATAATTTTTTTTTTTTTTTAAATCAAACATAAGATCGCACAACATCAAAGAAAAATCCAGGAGTGGTGCCAGCTATAGTGAGATCTCAAAAATGTCTTAGGATGTTAAGATGATAGCAAACACAGCAAAAGGAAAACACAATGTAAATGAGAAAATACAAAAATACATGTGGGTGTATTGAGACATGAATTTATATTGGATAGTATTCAGAACTGTTAAGATATGTAAATCTTTTGACAATGTGGACAAACAGTATTTTCTTACAGTGAGTACTGACGCTGCTAGTGAAGTGCAGGTTGTGTGTCCATTAATTAGCATTTTAATGACATTTGTAATGAAATAAAAACATGTTTCAGACGCTATATGGTTATATACAAGACAGTATTTAATTTACATAATAAGTGTTATAAAAGAAATGTAAAAAAAACCCAGAAAAACAGTCATGATTAGTAGTTACACCTGAAGAAAATGGCAAGAAAGGAAACACAGTGTATCTAGGGTCAAGGTGGTTGATTCTTAAGACATTAGATTATACTTTGTATCAAGTTGTCACCAGTTTGAAAGAAAATCTGTGTCTAACTTTCTGCTATCAGTGTTGTGTTATTCAAAAACATTTGCATTTAAGAAAAATCATCCTGCTAGATTTAAAGTAAAACACTTTAAAAAAATAATTCAGAAGACAAGACTCCATTCAATAGGAAGGCATACAGAGAGAAAGTGTATCACAGTGATACAGCAACCATACCAATCTACTCAGTAGGACAAAAACAAAAAGAGAAAATCATTAACTGGGAGCATTTTCTCAGTGTGGGACATGCAAACATCAAATCATACCCAAACACATTTAACATCTGTACAAATTATGAGCAGGAGGAGGAAAGCACTGATCATCAAAATGAGGAATGAATTATCTGTTGTTTTTTGCCACAAACATCCAGTGATCAGTATGGGATCTATTGTATCTTGTGGGTTTTACCTGAGTGGATTACATTCTGCTGCTTTCCTCATATGGCTCATGGCTGCCCTCTCTAGGGCAAAAGGGGAACATCTAATTTGCACTTCTCTATAAATTTGTGACCTCCGACATCAAGACGACACTTCTCAACTCTGACATGACATTTGACAATGATGATCTTGTTTAATTACAGACAGATTTTGTGGACTAGACAGCTACCGGATGGACGAGGGCTGGAGTTGCCACTGGTGCTGCAGGAGGAGATGCTTTGCCTTTGTAGCCCAGGGACAGAATGTGTTTCTGCAGGTGTGTGATCCACTGCTCCTGAACAGACAGAGGTCCATGAAACACCTCTTCACAGAACCTGAATGGCAGCACAGAGAGGAGAGTGTGATCTTAACTGCATTAAATGAAGTACAATAAGTTCAGAATAATGTGGTTAAACAAAGTGCATCACATGTACGGATGGGCAACATAGACATATTCAGTGTTATAATAATGATTATTAATTATGATTCATAGCTTTGATGTCAATATGTATCCCCTGAACATAGAGTTGTTCCCTTTTTTTCCACTAATCTTTAAAGTTGTTAAAATCATCTAATCCCACACTGTATGACAGTGTCACATATGTATATTCTGGACCTTCATGTTCCAACTCTTCACTGAAGCTATCTGGGTGACATATTCAGTTTCCCACAAAATTGCATATTAAGCATGTGTGGAAAGTTTGGGATCTCTTTGAGCAATAGTTTTGTAAAGGATTCCACGCTTGCAGGCTGCTATTTGCCATGTGGTTATGAACACAAAGCATTTTAGTAAGACAAGAAAGATTTCAGAGGGGCGTCCATGTGGCCTAGCTGTCTAAGGTGCTGTCGATCTGAGCGCACATTCCTGGCTTAAGTCTAGCAGGCGACTCGTTGTGGGTCATCCCCATCTCATTCCCTCTCTACCGACTACAAGCTAATAATGGCAGAAATACACATTCTTCAGTACTTGACCACACAAGCTGAAAATTATGCTATAGGTCCAGCCTGCATTAACATACTGTGAATTATGAAGGATAGATTCTTTTTTTTAAATTTTCTTTTTAAGTACACATTAACCCTGGTGGTCTCTACTATCTCTACTATCACTGAATACAATAGGATTGTGATTATATATCATAGACCAACCTGCACTTGAGGGAGTAGACTTTGCCCACCAATTTGACCAGTGGTGTTAGTGGGGGCTTTGGCAGCAGAGCGGGGATGCTGCCTGACCGTGAAGGTTGCTGGGAATTTTCTTCCCGTGCAGGCACTACATGTTTTGGCGGATGGACCCCTGAAACCACACAGAAAGTGATTGAGGTATTAGAGTGTCATGATTATGCAGAACAAGTATATCTGTATGCAGCTTTCTTTCAGCTCTCACCCCTTGGGGAGCGCACACCGGGGTTGCCGTGGGCTGCTGTAGACCGTGTGTGACCTTGTGATTGTCTGGATGAGCCGGCAGTCATACCAGAGTCCTCTCTGCGCATTTTGTGCTCATAGTGGTGCACCGAAGGCTTCAGGCTGCTGCCAGACACAGAGTCCGAGTCTGTGGACAGGGAGGGCGAACCAACAGTTCTCTGGGACTGGGAGAAAATGAATGTACAGTAAGTTGTATCTGAATCTGGACGGGAAGTTTTATTAAACACATTTTAGAGAACAGCCCACCTTCTTGATGTAAAGGTCTCCCATACGATAGCGTCGGGTTATTGCTGCTATCTTGACTGGGTCCCTCCGGATCAACTCACTGAGGAGTTCAATTGGCGAAGTTGCTCCATCTGCCTTCCACTCAATGATTCCCAGCTGTCGGAGGTGGGCCCGCGCGTGACTGGCCAGGGCCTTGCGGTTTTCAAAATCAAACCCGCAAAGCTCACAGGATGTGTCTGACAAAAAGAAGATGTGCAATTTTGGAAAAAGAATTAGTATCTACATTACATTAGGAATGTATTACCACTTCAGTGAGGTCCAGGAATGCTTTTGTGAAATTGAGATTTGTATATATATATTGGTATATTCTCATGTGTTGAACCTGCTAAATTCTCTTCTACCTCAGTGAGTCATTTCATATCATCAAACAGAACGTTTTTCAAAACCTGCCATGAAATGTGCAAGTGGATTTGGTGCAAGCAGGCAGAATGGGACAGCCGAGTAATGGCGAGACTGTAATATTTCCTGCAGTATGTGTTACGGCAGCGTTGCATTGTGGGAATGTCTCATGAAAAACAGGTTTTTGTCTATCAGCAATGTCCAGATTCCCTACCCTGTCTGTTGCAAAAGAACATGTCATAAAGAAACATGTCACAGAGTACAAGAGAGTGGCTCACCATCATAGAACAACATGGTTGTCTTTACAGTGGAGTTAATGTCTTACCTGTGTTTGAGGCCCCGCTTTTGCCAGATGGGGATTTCTCTTTTGTGGAATAATCGAGAGGTGAGGTGCAGGGTTTGGTGGCTGGTTCCCCTGACTGGAGACTGTCCAGGGACCTTCTGGAGCCTTGAGGGGTCCACGTGGCTTTGCCTGAAGACCCACTGGCCACAGACTCTTTCATACCTTCTCCACCATGCATCATGACCTCTTTGAGGAGATCTATTGGTGAGGTTTTGATAGACCAGGTTAGGCCGAGGTGGCGCAGATGGGCACGGGCGTGGCATGACAGGGCTTTGCGGGTGTCAAACAGCTGGCCACAATAGTCGCAAATGACTGTTGGCGGGGATTGTACATCTGTGGAGGACTCTGAGAAATGGTGGAGGTGGACTTAAAATTTTACATCCAAACTTTGGTGTACATACACAAGCAACAAAACTAATACATGCACAAAATATGAGGTATATTGGTAAATAACTCAACTGGAGCATGTAATGACATAATAAGGTACCAAATAAGCTAGTATTAACGGCTCTCTGCTTTACCTGCATTGAGAAGCTTTAAACCCACAGCAGCAGGTGATTTCTGCGTGGGAGAGCTGGTGTTTGTGCTGGGTTCCTTCGGTTGGACAGATACCTCAAACTCCATGGGTTCAGGCTTGGGCTTCCTATGAAGGGGGTCCACTGCTAGCCGAAAGCCTTTCTTAGCCTTTGGAGCCCTGTTAACAAGAGATTGAGGAGTGCACTTTGCTGGGCTTGGGGAGACGGATGTGGAGGGAAAGAAGGTTCTTGATTGGCCTGGAACTGGAGACAGAGCCCGGGTTGCAAGAGATGGCGCAGCAGATGAACTGGTACTGTTCGCTTTGGGGGGTTGTATAGCCTCTAACACGCCGCTGCTGACCAGTTCCTGGATGGTGTCGATTGCAGATGTTTTCCCCATCAGGTCAGTCACCCCCAGCTGACGCAGGTGACAGCGTGCATGGCAAGCTAGGCCTTTACGATTCTCAAACTCCTCCCCGCACAGAATACAAGTACAATCCGTTTTAGGCTGTTTGCTGAGAGGAGACGCAGATGGAGAGGAAGAGCGATTGGACGGACGTTTGGAGGAGGATCTAGGGGAACTGTTGGAGGCGATATCCTCCTGTTGCTTGCTGCTGATGGGCTTGAGATCCTCCTCTTCCATAATCCGGTAAAGAAGATCAATAGGGCTGCCCTTGATGTCGTTGTCAGGGATTCCAATGTGGCGCAGATGGGCCCGAGCGTGACTGGCCAGGCCTTTTCGTGTCTCGTACCAACAGCCACAAAGTTGGCACACATGGACCTCATCGTTGGTGTCTGAAGAACATGATGAATAGAAAGGTACCCAGTCACAATGAGACAATGCCATAAGGTTAACTTTATAAAAACAAAATTGTCTACCACATCCAGCTACTCCCCTCAATACTCCAAACATTTCTTTAAAACATCTATTCAGAATTCAACCATACCTAAGGTGATGGGGGCGTCAGTTTCAAGCGGGGCCCACAGTGGCTTGGTTGTGGTTTGGTGATCTAAGGAGGATGAACTGGTGCCTTCACTTGCTCTAGACTCAACCAGCCTAGGACCAGAAGGGGATGAGGGGAGGAGAGAGGTTGCTGACTCTTTCAGTCTGGCTGGAGATTCCTGCTGATGATCCATCTTCTGTGGAGTTGTCATGACTGTACTGGCTACATTGTAGGAGGCACTCCTGACCTCTGGCTCTGGAGGTGTCGCAGACTCCTGCTGGAACTTTTTCTGGAGAGGGGATGACCCAGATGCAGAGGAGTCTGCTTTGAAATCGGGGAGAGAGCCATCTCTCTCCTGGATGAGCTGGTAGAGGAGGTCGATGGGAGCGCCACTGCTTTCCGACACCGTCACGCCAAGCTTTCTTAGATGGAGGCGAGCATGGCTGGAGAGCCCTCGGCGTGTCTCAAAGTATGTCCCACAGACCTCACACATGACTGGCTGTGGGGTTGCTGTGGGGAAGTTCAGATGGGAGTTTGTCATTACATATTGATGAATAGGAGAACTTCAGTCAAAGTCTCTAGTTAGGAAAAAGAACAAGCTAGAAGCTTCTTTTGTAATAAGCTAACAAACACTAATTATGTCGACCATACAACCAGACCATTTGCTTCTAGACTTGACAAGCTTTACTTATGTCAACATTTGACAGGACAAAATGAGTGGCAGTGAACACCAATCCGACTTTTTGTCTCCCACTACAAATTCAGATACCTAAATTCAGGTTATCAGCTGATCTGATGCAAGTTCTCTCTTTTGCCTAAATTCAAAATTTGGAGCACATTTGTATTGGCATCAATTATCTGTAAGGTAATATAAAGTAAAAACTGAGGATGTGACTGAGGACTGACAGCAGAAACATTTGTATTATAATATTATCAAAACAAAATGTGTTTTAATGTGGAAAGTTCACATCAGGAAAAGACTTAAATGCACAACTAAATGCACATGGTATAAGAAATAAGACAAGGCCTGAATCACATCCACTGTAAGAATACGACTGGGGTCTAATCATGATGAGGATGACCAATGAAATAAATCAACAAAGATAGGCAGCACAATCAGGCTGTAACAATGTGACATAAGAAATAATGTAATTACATTTATAAGAGTCTCTCTTACCTTGTGACTCCATGGCTGCTGATAATGCTGGGCTTTTATTTTGAGGGACGGGAATGTTTACCTCCAGCGGATCTTGTGTACCCGACTGAAAGTCTTTGAGATCAAATGAAAGATTACTAGTGTTATATTGTTACAGATCAGGGAGTTTTAGTTTTCATAGCTTCCAAAATGCAAAATAAACTTGCCTACAATACCCAGAGTCGTGCAGTTATAAAAATATCTAACTTGTTGGTCTGACTGACCGACAACCTGAAAATAACACGACTGTAACCTCGCGACAAAAAGCAGCCTGTCAATAAATATCTTTACAGCTGAAACTTGTAATTTATCGTTAGAGAAAGTTCAGCATTTCTAATTGTATTGTTCGAAACTAAACAGACTAAAACTGTAAGTGGCCGAAGCATCTTCTAAGTTAAAGCTATAAAAGCTAACTTAGGATACCTCTGTTGTACCCTTTGTTATGCTATGGAAGCATGCTAACGTTAGCTGTAGGCTAGCTCACAGTACATTTTACACCCAGTTAGCAACTAGCCACACAACCTACAGCCTGGACTGGAAACCAAACGACATAAGCAATTATAGATACACGTTAATTTACCTAAAAGCCCGAACACACTGCCTCAGTTCACTTACATCAGTGTCATTCCCACTGACAAGCTTAGGGGAAGTACGGAGCAACAGTCCCGGTGCACGGATCTTTCAAAATAAAAGCCCTCCAAAAGCCCTTCAGGTAATCAAATGTGCCCCCTGGTGACAATCAACAAATAAAGGTAGTTGGTTTAATTATTCCACTAGATACTGTAATGTTATACTACTTTATTTTTTTAGTAACTATTGTCCCACAGAAAAGTCCCTCATTTAATGTAACCAGCAAATAAACATTGATGAGGTCATAAATATGTTTTTTTTTATTTTACTTATTATTTTGTGATTAGTGTTTAGTATAAGTACTATTGTTAAATTATATTAACATTATATCATTATTCATTCATTCATTAAGCATACATTTTAGTTTAGCAATTGCTTATCTGTTTCTAAAGATATAAACTGAATAGATTTTAATTCAGGAATAGCCAATACTTGTGTCAATTTTTTTTATATACACTTGTCACTGTACCCTAATAAATAAATTTGCATTTCATGTCAACATTTCCTTAGCACTAACTGGCCTAACATGTTAAGAACATAGTTTTGTTTCCGTAGTAAGATGCGTTAAAGTTGTAATATTTCTTTAAATGATAATAACTTCTCAACGTGCAGTTCCCTGTCAAGTCAACACACTAATAATTTCTTTACAAACAATTGTACCTACTCCTTCTCTCACTCACTATTTTTTGACCTGTATTGAAAATAAGCTTTTTAAGAAAAACAAATAAGTTACAAAAGAGCGAGAACTAGTCAAACAAGATTAGTCATGATATGGAGCAGCAGTAGTGGGAAAGGAAATGAGAAACAAAGAGGTGGCACAAACTACAAAAACATACAAACATAGGCAGTCTGAAGGCAATAATAAAGAGATTTGTTTATCTGGATCTTTATGCCTTTATTTCTACTGCAGAGCATCACAGTCCTGTAACGCCCCTGTGGTCAGAGTAGAGACTATCTTGCTGGCCCCTGACATCCACCAACACTTCAAGAGACGTCTGATTTTCAGGCATCAAGAACTTGTTTTGACCTTTGACCCCACAAGTAAAAAATACCACACAATAAGATAACAATAAAACATTACTATGTATTCAAGTAGAGAAGCAGGTTGAAATACATTGTTCAGTTAATCAAAAGGGAGAATCCCAGGAACCTCTTCTTCTGACAAAGAACGACAGCATTACATGAGATTCTCCATGAAGGAAAAAAAACATGAGTAACGTTAATTCCTTAGAAAAATCTGCTTTGTTGTCATATTGAACTACCCGAGTTCAGCCTAGTTTGACAAGCAGCTTGAAGGGTACTTAAAACCAATAAATAAAAAAATAAATGTTTCTGTGTATGTACGGCTGTAGTTTTCATTTCACAACCTGAAGAGTAACTAGTAATTCAAAATATTAATATTCATCATCTGTCAGCTAAGCGGAATACGATCTTCTCTGAACTTTTACTTTGAAGGAAGTGATTTTAACTTCCGGAGGCCACAGCTAGCCCACCCTACTTCTTGCACGCAGCCGTCCTCCTTCTCCTTTGACTGCTCTCTCCTCCTGCCAGCAGCAGACCGCCGCTCTCACAACTTCTTCTCGGCTTTACGTAAAGACAGGTGGGTCTGAAAGTAAATGTTTGTGTGATCCTTTAGTGTCAGAAGTTCGCATTGTGTCTGCACGGCACGGCCCGGGCTAACAACTCTTTATCTTGCAACAAGAAGACAACAAAGAACCCGGTTTACTACAATACGCTAACGTTAAGCTAACAAGGCAGTGCGGGTCAGTTGCTCCCCTCCTTCTTCCAAGTATTTGGGCCTGTTTCTGGCTCTTTCTTTGTCCGTGTACTGCAGCTTGCAGCAGAGGCCGGTCAATACTCCCTCGCCGTCAGACTTTGAATGTAAAAGCTTTGAGCTACACCGCTGAACTTTGACCAAGAAATGTCTGCTAGCTACTCGCTTATACCTCTGGAAGTGAAGATGACAAAGGATTTTTAGGCTTTTGCATTACGACAGGCGCTGACACACAATGGTTTGTCTTATTCATGCACAACGTGTTAACTATAACTGTAGGTATTTAAAAGAGTATGGCACTTGTGAAGGCCTGGTTGGCTCAACACTGTGTTTAAAGTGTTAAATTATTTTTATCCTGCACTTTTCTATAAATGCAGAGGTTAAAACTGCAACATTGACATAAACAATCATATGTCTGCATCCCTCTTATAAACTATGTATGTATTCAACAAGTATCATTAATCTTAATGGTTTTGTGCTTATCATGGTTATGTAAGCTCTTAATAGGCTATTGTTCCCTGCAGGCTGAACATGACTTGCATGTGACTTTACGTGGTTTGCTGAACTGAACCAGCTTCTGAGCATTGCACCAGTGTATCACAGTGCTGAGAGCCCTGGGTGTCGAGTTAAGCTTCCAGTACATGGTCTTTTGAGTCTTAATATTTGTTCTTTGGCTCGTCTTGCCTGAGGTTTGTGTTGCCGTTGGAGCTCCAGGTGGCTCCACCCAGGCAGAACTTTATCTATGATGGTGTATGAGCATCAGGAATGTTCTAGTAACTATTTGTTTCTCCCTCAGTCATTTTCCACCAACACCATGTCCGCTGGAAACGCTAAGATTGGCAAGCCTGCCCCGGACTTCAGCGCCACAGCTGTAGTGGGTGGACAGTTCAAGGACATCAAGCTGTCAGACTACAAAGGTAACCGTGTGTTATTAGTCATAGGCTTTGTTCTACTGTCGGATATCCTCAATCTAGCTTTGTCTTTACAGTGTGTTTACACCTACTTTTCTTGAGTAACAATATTTCGGGGCTCATTTCTTTACTTCTGTACTCTCAGGGAAGTATGTGGTCTTCTTCTTCTACCCCCTGGACTTCACATTTGTGTGCCCCACTGAGATCGTGGCTTTCAGCGACAGGGCCGAGGAGTTCCGCAGTATCGGCTGCGAGGTTATCGGCTGCTCCGTAGACTCTCACTTCAGTCACTTGGCATGGTGAGAATTCCTGCTGACTTGATGGAAATCATGTTTTTTAATGTGATTTGTGTGATTCGTGCAGTGGGAACTAGAGAACTTGAAAGTATAAATATTTTTGCAATGCATTTCAGCTTTTGTATTTACATTGGGCGGCTATGACATGTAGGAAAATATAAATATCAGATGAGAACTCAGACTTCCCTTGTTGGCACTTTCTAGTTTCTCTGCTAAATAATGAGGGTTTTGGCAGATCTGAAACAACGCCCACCACAGTTTATCTCCTGCCACTGTGCTTCTTCTGCATAGTCGTGATAAGTTCTGATATACTGAGAAGAGGTAACGGTCTGTTAATAAAGCTGCACTGAGAAGAATTTGAATGCCGTAATCGTTTACTCAGCACAGTTGTAAGTGTAGTGGATTGTTTTACGCTTCCAACATTACATTTAACAAATTTTGTGTGACTCTCGCCTCATTTGGACCATGTTCTGATTTCATTGTAGGTTTTAGGGAACATCTTCACTTATGTATTTCATTAATGAATTGTAGGCATGTATTTATATTTATTTATTCATTACTTAAGTTAGATCTTAGGAGTTCACCACCACTACCATCTGACTATTTGCTTTGTTCTGTTTAGGTAACTTTGAAAGTTACTATGTCCTTTTGTTTCTAATATCAGTTTAGTTTTACAAACACATTTATGAGGATTTTCTTTAAATTTAAGTAATTAGTAACTAATAAGTAAGAGAAGCATTGAGGCACTTTGTGTGCTTACAATTAACATTTTGATAATTATATTGTCATTTTAATCCTACAGGATCAACACACCAAGGAAGCAGGGAGGTCTAGGCAACATGAAAATCCCCCTCGTGGCAGACCTGACCAGGGCCATCTCCAGAGACTACGGCGTGCTGAAGGAGGATGACGGCATCGCATACAGGTCAGGCAGACTGCTTATGTCACACTCTAGTGGAAGCTTGGTAGGATGTAATACTCACTCGGCTCTATGATTACTAAAGGATGTACAGTAGCTGTAACAAGTGCGTCTCTTTCAGGGGTCTGTTTGTGATTGACGACAAGGGCATCTTGAGGCAGATCACCATCAATGACTTGCCTGTGGGTCGCTCTGTGGATGAGACTCTGCGCCTGGTTCAAGCCTTCCAGCACACCGACAAACATGGAGAGGGTGAGTAAAATCTATGGTTGGTGTAGTTTGAATGTTACCAATTCTGATTCTTAAAATGATTTATTATAGAGGAAAACAACAATATGAAGGAAAATGTTTCACACTAAAATAAATCACCGTAAAGAAAATTGAAGTCTGCTGACCTTTTCACAAAATAAACACATTTATATTTACAAATTGATCTTATGTCCATTTTTAAACTATTTGTTACTGTACTTGACCTTTTTACTGTATTTTTTGTTTGGCCATAAATACCCTGCAACGCTAACTGCACAATCTCAGTTACTGTGTTGATATTTACTGAGCTACTCATAGTGCACACACACTGGTCTGTAGTCTCAACACTATAGTTTCTACAGCGTGACTGTGACTGACGGGGACCTGAATGCACACTGCCAGTCATCCGCAGGAGCATGCGCTAGAGGCATACCCATTGTCTTATCCACGCAGCTAGCTTTGGACAACATGCAAACTTATTTTCTCATTCTTTTTCCAAGGTGACGAACCGACATTCTAATATAATTTTTTTTTCATTCGTACCTGATTCTTTCTATCTTGGCATTTTGGATTCGGTTCAAACTTGGACTCATATTTCAGTTCCCAACCCAAGTAAAATCCTTGTAAAAACCTCAGTTAAATGTTGTGGCATCTGTTAATTTTAAGGTCCAAAGTAACATTTAGGAGGACCCATTGGCAGAAATTGAATATAATAAGCATAAGTATATTAGGTTATAATAACCTGAATATAGGAATCGTTGTGTTTTTCGTTACCTTAGAATGAGCCGTTTTTATCTGCAGACACTATGGATCGCTTTCCATGGAGTTTTTTTGCGAGTTTTGCAGCCAGTGTAGTTCCTCCGACACTGTCCCAGGTCATCAAGTACAGACCCAAGCATTGTTAGTTAGTTGCAATCTGAAACTTAGATGCCACTCAATCCTACACACTGGTCCTTTCCCACTTTTAAAGGCTTTTTTTTTTTTAATATCAAATTCAAAAATGAATTTGTAACTTACTTGCATGTTGTGTGTGTTGTGCAAGGTTATTATAGTTTAATAAATGAAACCTAAGAACTAGGTGTGAAAAACATTTTGAATGAACTTGAGCTTGTTTATGTGTAGCTGTAAACTGACTTGGCAGGTTTATTTAGCAGTTTGTGGACATGGCCTTGCATTATTAGTTTATCCTCCCGGGTATTTACACATGTACATTTCCCTTAGTCTATACAAAGTTCAATGTCTGTCACCTAATCCATGTGGTAAACTTTGTCCCCTTTCCACACAGTGTGCCCTGCTGGCTGGAAGCCCGGAAGCGACACCATTATCCCAGACGTTGAGAAGAGCAAAGACTTCTTCTCCAAGCAGTAAATGTGAAGGCCTTCTAGCCGGCTTCCTAACTGTAGCACTTGCCTTCAATTAAGAGGTGTTCCTATGAAGCAGTATCTCATGGCGTCCAATCTAATGTATTAAACCCAACAAAATTTCAGAACTTGTTAGATAAATCCTTTGTTGCAAATCTTATCTTTGTACGTCCAGTGTACAAATGGTGGAGCGACCTCATAGTCTCAAGCACTGAAAGTATAGTTTTGTTCCTTTTTCAGAAAAAAGTATTGATATTTTTCCTTGCTGTCTTGAATCATTTGCTACCATCTTTATTAAACAGTGGGAAAATTGTGACTAAGTGTGTCTTTTCTGACTGCTGTACATTGATATTGTTAGTCATTCCACCTGTGTCCTCTAGGTGGCACTATACATCTTCTGAATCTGTTCTTGGTGTCCAACTAGTTCAGTGACTACACAACTTGAAGTATTACGCAGTCATTTCTGGAATGAGCTTGTGTTGGTGGGGTTTTAGTCCTGAACTGTGTGTCTGGCAGAGAATCTGATTACGTCACACAGCTGGGAAGTCTTTGTTAATGTTGGAGTTATTGTGGTTTGACTCAGCAGAACAACCTAACATTGCCAAATGGCACTGTAGCTCATTGGGAAAGATTGGATTGTTGGATATTATTTGACACAGACCTGCGTGACTGTCTTTAAACAGATACTTTGTCACTGTTTGAGATTATCCATATGTTTCCCATTATGTTTTGTTTTTTTGATCCTTTCCAGAATACCATTTCCCCCCCATTCACTGATGAAATAACATTAGATAACGCCTGAGTAACCAGCCCATGTCTTATTTACCGAAGAACATGATGGCATATATCCACACTATATAGTATAATCCTGATTTGAGTCCAAGTTTATTTAAATTATTAGATAACCTCTGTGTGGATCACCTCTACTCCCCAACTGTTTTCTACCCTTTTTTTTTGGCCTCAATTCTTGTCAGTTGAAACAGCCATCAGACAGAAAGTCTACTCTGCATGTTTGTGTGGAACTTTTTTTCTACCTTCTTTCCTGAGTTAGTGTTCTCACGACTTGTTTTGGGAAACTGAAAGCAGAATGGGGAAACTCCCTTAACTCGAATAAACCACTCATTGACAGCACTCTTCATTTACGCACACACACACACACACATTGTGGTGTGAAGGGGAGAGCGAAGGCCTTTCTGACGGGTAATGTAGGAGGGAGTTCCCGGAAACCTTTTCCTGATGTGACGTTATAGCAAAACTGACCATATATGGAGTGACGTAAGTACGTCAATACGGAAACAATCCTACGCTGGGACGTCTCCAACGTCAAGCAACTGCTGCTGCTGTATACTTAAAAGTGCTGACCGGAGTTGACAACAGTGTGGTTACGTTAACGAGAATTACTATAATAATTCCTAAGAGGTAACCTTTAAAAAAAAAAAACCCTCAATAAGAAACAACACCACATATTTCTGTTCCATAAATTCATTTACTTAAATATATACTGTACAGGTAAAAAAAAAAATAACACAGGTTCATCAGGGTCAACCTGACGAACACAAATAACTTACATAATCACAAATTAAAGTAAAATGTAAACAGGCAAAGCCAAGACGACACTTTTAATAACTTGCTCAAAAATGCCCGAAGTGTTTTAGTCTTGTGTGATTTCTGCGTAGGCTACTTTTCTTTCAGCCAAAGAAACCAAAATGGTCCAGTTCTTTCAATGTAGCCTATAAAGACATTGTTCATTGATTGTAATGTCAGTGCAGTTCTTGTCCAGTGTTTTTCAAAGTGCGTTTGTTTCTTCAGTAAGACTTTACTTTGGGCGCTAACATGAGCTGGCAGCCACTGCTCACATGTGTCATTACTTTCTGTTTGAGTTGGGCCACCTGCTCCCGCAGTACAGAAGCCGTGTTTGAGAGCCCGGCGTTGTCGGTTTTCAACACTTTAACTTTGTCCTCCAGACGAGAGATGCGCTCCAGCTTGCGCTTCCGACACTTGGAGGCTGCGAGCCGGTTCCTGAGCCTCTTGCGCTCGGCTTTGATCCGCTCCTGGTTCTCCATGTCGATGGGGGACATCGGCGGAGACCCGCTGTCGCTACTTTGCATATCGGGCACCGTCTGAGGCTCCTCTTTCAACCCGCTGTACCGCTGCGAGTGGATGCCCACACCGGCCAGGGAGTGCTGGAAGTGGTGAGATCCGTGCGCAACGGCCTGGGGGTGATGGTGGTACTGGTGGGGCGGCAGGTAGCTGATGGTGGTGGAGGGATAGCTGGCTGTGGAGGACAGGCTGGGGTTCGTGGTGCAGCTGCCCAGGGTGGTGTACTCGAGCGGCTCTTGCTGCATGGATGAGCCGAACACCGAGGGTGGAGCCGAGCAGGCAACGCCACCGGTGCCGATGGACACGTTTGGAGGAGCCATCTGGTTCATCTTGTGTAGGTCGTCCAACGCTTTAACAAAGCCGTCAGCAAAGCCCTCCTGCTCCTCTGTGATCCCGCGGTTGTATAGGAAATGGGCAGGTGTCGGCGTTGTAGTGATGACCCCGTTGCTGTTCTGGATGATCAGTCGCTCCAGTTCAGGAGAGGCGAGCTTCAGAGAGCCCACGTCCGCTGTCCCGGCCGAATAGAAATCACTGTCGGCGCGCAGGTGCTGTGGCTTGAAGTTTGAGTTCCGATATGAATCGGAGAAGTTCAAGTTCATATTCTGCTTTAGCAGCTTGTAGTCTGGCAGGGCTGCGCCTGGATGGCCATAAGCAGAGAGAAACGAGTCGTCATAAAAAGGCTGTTCCATTATTGTGGACATATTTCAAATCAGACAGTCAAATACAAGAGTGCGCTGCAGAGATGCTGCTTGGACACCGAGGCTTCAGTGTCCCAACTGATTCAATCTCCAGCACAAAGTCCCGCTGTATTATTATTCTGAAGATCAAATCTATCAAAAAACAGAGCAAACTTCCAAAATAGTGGAACTGTACTGTACCAAGTCGTCGATTTGTACCTTTAGTTGGATTCAAAGCGGAGTCCAGTGACTAATTCAGATGTTTTCAATCCGCTTGTGAGTAGGAGAGTCTTTTCTGTTCTGAGTCTGAGCTCCACCTCTGTTTCCTCTTAAATGACGGGCGGAGGTTCGCTCCGCTGTATTTATATTCCGGTTCTACGGGCACTCCAACCGGACCGCTGATTGGTTGTTTCTCTGTGGCCCCGCCCTCCGGTATGTCAGAGAGTCGGTGACGTTGTTGCCAGGAACAAGCTACTGTAAACAAGACGAGGCCTATTCGGCGTGGGGAAACTCAACTCAGGTAAACACATAAAATACCTCATGCGCACTTGATCCACACAAGTCAAGTTTAACTGTGTCTCACGGCTCAAAGACACCCGGAAACAAAATGTTCTTCCTTCTCCAACCTCACTGGGACACCTGAACCACTCCAACAACCACTTTGCTTTTCATCCCCAACAACAACCCCCATGGGTAAGGATAGCCTATATAGTCTGGTGCTGAGTCATGCGATCCAAACTGATACCGGCCAGTCCATATTTGGATATCCTGCCACACCAGTTCCTCCCTGACAGGAGCGGGAAGCCAATCCCACTCTGGCGAGATTCCAGTTCTCCGGGATGTGGGAGGCGGAGGAGGCGCACTGCTGCCCTCCTTCAGCCCGCAGGCAGGGAGAGGATGGGGAGGTGGCGTAAACTCTTGGGCGTGATGTCCTAAAAAATGCGTGAAGCACAATGGGTGTCTGGCAAAGGAAGACGTATGCTCAGAGTATCAGACAGAACACAAATTGTTGATGTGATTAAATAAACTATACTTGATGATAATTAGGTAGATCTAATAGGCTGCTCAGGGATGGAAAGAGATCATATTCAGATAACGAGTTACTCACCAGAAACAGCTGTCATTAATCCTGTAAGAATGAGGTAATATCATTAAAAATGTTCAAGCAGAAGTTCATGCCTAGTGGTACCTGATCAGTTAGTATTTGTCTGTTTTCCTCCTCTGCTTCACTGTTTTGAATAATTTTATAGAACTTAATGCGTTCCTATAGGAACTACGGGAGCGTAAACAAATGACGGAGCCCTGCAGGTATGTGAGAGTAAAGACATGTCCCCTGAACTGAACACCTGTTTGACAGAAAGACGTTTCTGTCTTCTCTGTATGGTAATGACCCCTGAATCATTTCCCAGAGAGCCATGCGCCCAGAGAGCCATGCGCCCACGCACGTTCATATGGTTTAGTTCGACTTTCCAACCCTCTGCTTACACCTATCCTCAGGTCACGTGTCTTTCTCTCTCTCTCTCTCTCTCTCTCTCTCTCTCTCTCTGTGTGTGTGTGTGTGTGTGTGTGTCAGTGTTTTTCGTCTCATTATGGTAATTTGACTGGAGGATAAGGTTATTATTAATTGATTTTAAAAATTGCTTTAAAGATTTAAGGAACAGATAAAATTCAAAGTCATTGTTTTCTCACACCCTTATCAGATGTAATAATTAATAGATATTACGTTAGTAATAAGAACTTAAGCTCTCCTAGAACATTGAAGGTAATGGGAGTATCAACCAGTTTATATAATATCTCCTGTGTTTTTCAGAGTCTTCTGTCCGTTTGCAGTGGTGTGTATGCAGAACAAGAGAGATCTCAGCCAGGAAACGTGGCACATAATGAGGTAATCACTGGATTTTTGGACTCACAGTGTGATTGTGGTGACTGACTGACATTTTACAGTTTATTCTTTTTAGAATTGTGACAGATGGGCCATGTTATTGAAGTTTGGGTTCTGAAGGGGTACACTAACGATTAAGTATTGCATGATCTTTAATAATTCCATACATTTCAGGGACTCAGGGATAGCATCTTCCTTTAGTTAAAGAAAGGCACAGGCGGTGCCTCCCAAATGCCCACTTTTATCAAACCCACCCCAGTTTGAACACAGGCCTCCTGATATTAAAAAAATTAACTCTCATGCCAGTGCTGGGATAACCCTGATGACCTCACCATGACATCATCTGGGTTATTTTCTCAGACCTCACAGAGCCCACGTAAAACCACAGAGGAGATTAACTTCGTGTGTACAGTTGGTTAATGTGTGTTATGGGTACCTAGTTATCATACAAATTTCAAAGTTTAATTTTCACTGAATTTGAATTACAGGTAAAACTTTTCTTTTTACATTGTTAATGGAGGTTTCACTCATAACAAGACCAGGTTGACCTTTGAACCTTTGCCATTAACCTTGCACCGATACACACCATACGTGGAATGATAAATCAGGCATAGCAGTTACAGTTCTGTAGCATCACAGGCATCAAGCAGATTTTTATCTTCAGTATCTGAAGCAACATCAGCCTGTGCACTTGCTCAGTTTGTGGGAGTCAAAGGTTGCAGTTCAGTCAGCAGTCCTGCATTGGTCAGTTTGGGCCAAGCTCCTCCCACTGAAACAGTGGTTTGATGTGCTGGTCAGTTAGTTTCCAGTCTGTGTGAAGAAACTTTAGCGGAAACAGAGAAACAGAAGTAGTTTCAGGGAAACAGAGTGAAGTATCACTCAGTGGTCAGTTCCAGTTTCAGAGTGACCTCACCAACATATCAAAGGTCACTTTTTAGAGATATAACAAAACTGACCTTTTCTAGCAAGTGTGCTTTGATACTGATATATGTTTACCTCAGATTAGATGATAAATAAAGGCCTCTTAGGGTGATGATTCTTATATATAAGATATAATATTTCATTTGATTTATATATTGTTGGGCATCTGATATTGTGACTGAGAATCTCTTGCTCTTAAGCCTGATTGAGTGAGGACGATTCAAAAGTCTTCTGTGGCTTGTTGCTAAATTTGCACACGTTAGATACTATGGAATGTTTACATGTGACTTTCTTATTTGAGACCCATAATTGGCTCTGAGGCTCTGAACAATTTCTTGCTCACATGCACATGATTATATGGGGCTATGCACCGAAATTCAGAGAAGCACAGTTAAAACACCTCATACATGCAATTCTGTCACTTTGTTTGATCGCTGGTGTGATTTGGGTTGACAGATAGGGCAACGAAAAACAAAAGCAGCGGCAGAAACGTGAAGAAAACAAACATGAAAGCAACAGAGGAGGGCATAGGTGCCTGTAGCTGGGCCATATAAAGTAACCTTTTCTATTTTTCTTGGCTATCAGTTCATCAGTGGTAACTGCCGGCTGTGCCCTGGAGAGAGACTGAGGGTAGGTGAATTGAGCTGTGGGAGTTAAAAAGCCTTGTGTAGCATACATGAGAGGAAATAATTGAATTTGTCACATTGAACTGTACAAGGGTGTCATTTATAGGAAAGTCTTTTATGTAAACCACACACCTGTACTTGTTCAGTTATGATTCATGCTTCTAAAATATTTATTTTTTACTGAGAATTCAATGATCTGGAACTAGCCAGGACTGCTGATATAACAGATTTAACACAATGTGAGCTGGATTGCAAAATCATAAATGATTTAAGTTAGTTAACATTTGTAGTTCAGTCAATATAGTGATTTGGGTTTTCTGTAATTGCCAAAAGAATTGTGATGCGGTAAAGTCATTGGGCTTGCATGAATATTCACAAAAACCTGTTCAATACCGTCCTCTTTGACCATCCTCTGTAATTATTTCACTCACTTCAAATACACTTTTGTCAGAAAAGGACAAATCTGAAAAATGCCTGAAAGCTGCTGATGTTCATCACGGCTTAAACACGACTTTAACTCCCGCCTCTCCTTCTTGCCTCCCACCACAACCGCCGCAACTTATTCAGGCACTAAAACGCTGGCCGGCTTTATTAAATGAACCAGAAGTAATGCCTCTCCTGCATCTTTGGCAAGGTCTTTCATGCTGGAAGCTCGATGACCTGGAAGTGGCCTGTAGGTGTGGTGAGTCAGGTAGGGGTGTTCGCAAGGGCAAAAAGCTGGCTGTCCCCGCGAGGAGAGGACAGCTCACTCCCTCACGCAGCACGTTAAGTCAGATGGCTGTTAGTCAGTCCCTAAAGAGTGTGTGGGTCACTTAAATCAACGCTAAAAAGCAATTCGTCTTTCACCCCCCCACCCCCACCCCCTCTCCTCCATGAACTGAGCCTCATCCCTGCACCAAAAGCCTTTTTCTTCTTCTTCTTCTTCTTCTTCTTCTTCACCCTCCTCGTTATTTGGCTGCCCGTGGGAAATTGAACCGCCTTGTGCATGTAATCGCTTTAATGAAGGCATGTTTAATCAGCATATTCTTTGTCTGTAGCTCGCAGATAGCGCCAAGGAGCCTTGTAGCGACGAGAGACCTTTAGCACAAGACAAGATGATTGCTGGGGCCAAATGAGTGTGGCAGGAAAAGACAGTCGGACCCAGCTGTCGCCCCAGGCTGACGTAACGCATATGGAGCTGTCCTTCCCACTTCCCCTCCATCTACACGGATGCTTAAACTCCCTGTCACTCTGCCAGTCTGTGAAAAAAAGGCAAACAGCAGGAAGCGGGGGGTTTAATTAGATCTAATCTGATTTTACATGCCCATTTGGTTTATTAATTGAGCCGGCTCATTGTTGCCTTTTTTGTTTGAGAAGGACAAAAATGTGAACTTAATTATGACTCGGGGATGAAACTGTGAGCATAATGGTGTTAACTATGAGGTTGGCTATTGTTTCGGTATATTTCAGTCAATCCTTTGCCATGTTCTGATTAATTACATAGCAACAACACTAAGAGTTCACAGCCACAGCATGCTCACAAAGACAAAGCTAACGTGCAGCATAGTACAGCTGATATCACTACTTTTGCAGGTTTTTGGTCATAGTATTGGACAATTCATCAAGTCTTTATGATTCATCCTCTGGGGACCATGAATGTCTGTACAAAGTTTCATGTCAATCCATGTAACTGACCGACCAAGAGACATTGCCAGCCCTAGGGCATGGCAAGAACTTAACCCTGCTGCTGATAAATCTGCATATGGATTAAAGGAAACTGCTTTCAGTTAAAAAGAAAAGAGAAGAAACATTTTTTATGGCTTATGGGAGAAGTACCTGAAGTGCAATTTAAAAAAAACAAAACACAAAAAGGTCCCACACAGGTCATAGGGTGTTTTCAGACCATTGTTAAGTTAAGTAACAGAGGTGAGTAAGAAGCCAAACACACCTTTTCTGCAAAGGCACCAAAACAAGACACATCACATGATTGCTTTGAAACTATGAGGGTTGATATACTGTAAATGACTTAAAGGTTGCTCATAGTGCTGTGACATTTAATGCTGTTTAACCCCAGCACATACGCCTGCATGAATACAACTAAATAATCTGACTCTTTTATTTGTTTTACTCCTCAATGAGATGACAACTGGATTCAGACTTTTTCTAAACTGGTGGATCAGGGAGGAGAGGTGGGACATGTTGCGGATGTTTGATTCCTCTGTCTGACACTGGCCGAGAGTTCCTCTTTGTGTCAAAATAGGAGAAGTGAATGTAAGTTGGCAGGAGGCTGGGGAGTGGAGGGTTTGGGTACACCGCATTTTCATTTCCTCAATAAGTTGCGGTAATGGGCCATTACCGGTGTGGCAACGGCAGGCTTGAAAAGATTCAAGTCAGGAATCATTTCTAACAGATGCGTGAGATCAGTCATTATTTACAAGCAAACATACATGGAAATGAATTCAAATATGAGTTCAGATCCTTAATTAGGGGCTGCATAGACTGTGAATCCATGGTCAAATAGGGATATATAAGTATTAGTGTACATACAGCTCTTTATACAATATTAAACTTAGCTGTTAGAAATTTAAATTCAAATCATACCGCTGCTACTTTGATGAATCAAAAGTCACAGACTACGCTGAGTCATGGATGTGTAAATCTTGTTGTTCAGTACAATGTAGTAGTCATCTCCAGTGTGTTAGGTTGCTAGCACACTGGTTTGCCATTTCATACATTTCATCATAATGTTCTACATGATCTACATTGGTTGTATCAAAAGGTAAAAGAAATACAGCTACTGGCCCCTCTAAAGCTTTTTAATTAACACATTATATCTTGTTTGTTTAATCCATACAAAGACCAAAGTGTGAAACAACAACAAGTTGTGGTCTCGTCGTCTCTGAGTCTCCAGTCTCCTGACACCATATTTAACAGACAGATGTAAGAACCGTATTATTCCATGAGGTGAATAATGTAAGCCGCTCCCTGTGTGCACTTGTGACAAGGTATGTTGTTGCGTATCTACGATCAATTCTATTTCATTTTTTTGATTATCCAACATTCTCAAAATGAGGCTTGTGGAAGAAGAACAATTTTATATTTCTATGATTTTATATGTATGCGAAATAAAAAAAGATATCGCTGGTGCTGCTACATCAGTTTTGGTATCTTTTTAAAATAAATATCCACCACGATTCTGACAGTGATGAAGGAGTGCGGTGCCAAATAGAGTGCTCTTTGAAGTGTTGGGTCGTTTTTTCATTATCACTCAATTCAAAGTTGATGTATGGCCGTGAAATTGTCTGTGTACAGTCGGACCTCGTGTAAATGTCTCTCCCTCCTGCTCTGCATTTCTGCAAAATTCCTCTACTAAACTCGTATCCCCTAAAAAAGTAAAGAGGGAGTAAAAATACAGGTTGACCTGTGGGAAAGAGAGCTCATTCACATGAGGGCAGATTTTAACATTAATCACAGTAG